CTCGCTTGGACCACATCGTTTGAGGTAAACGAGTCCACAAAACCGAGACGAAGCGTGCGGGGATTTGTACTTTTGTTTTATGAGACTCGGCCTGGGCTCGGCGCGGGCGGTCGGGTCTAGTGGATCAATGCCTCTCGGGACCGGCGGCCGCCTGGTTTGGCCCACCACCGGCAGATCCACCGGCAGATCCACGACGGATCCACCGGCAGATCTGCAACAGATCCACCGGCAGATCCACTGACATATCCACCGGCAGATTCACGACGGATCCACCGGCAGATCTGCGACAGATCCACCGGCAGATTCACCGGTAGATCTGTACCAGATCCATCGGCATATCTGCGGCAGATATTCAGTGAATCCATCGGCAGACGCACCGACAAATCCACCGGCAGATCTGGGGCAGATCTACGGCCCGGCCGGGATGAGTTCGGCAGACCCGATAGACGTCATCCCATCAGTGGGCGGAGGGGGCGGAGGGGGAGGTACGGGAGTCTCGTCATGGCCCACCAGTTCTCGTTCAAGCCCAGCGCTGATCCCATGGCGGTACGCGCAGGGCCCAGTGTTCAAAAGGGGTATGGGGTGTGCAAAGGGCGTAGATCCTACCGACCTGTGAAGGATTCTTGTGGCTCCGACCGCATCTCGTATTCAACGTGCGTTTGAATACAACGTTTGGAGTAAACTCCAACATAAATTGAGTGGCAAAATATCAATTATATACGTCGATTGGCCGAGTTATCGGTATTATTTCGATGCAAGGTGCTACATGGGGGGTTACATTTCTGGAGCACCTGCGATCGAGACCTTTCATGAAAATGCTAACAGGATGGAAGGAATGTTTCGAGACTCGCATATTGCAGCAATTCGGGAGAGATTCAGAAATGGCCAGAGCCCTTGGAAGCCACACAGCTCCATGGGAAAGCATATTAACCATACATCATACATCTTTTTAACTTGAACACGCAGGAGCTCTACACTTGGCATTCCCCAATTCATATAGCTTGTGCTCTAGCATGGAAGACCTTCTCATTGCTAGGGCATTACAATGCACTCAGCTGCTGGGACTGTACTGTGACACCTGCCCCCCACCCTGGTGGGAAAGGTGGCCACTGCTGGGAATCAAACCCAATGCCTCTTACTTTCCAGACAGGTGGCTTGACCACTACACAGGGGGGAGGGGGGCAAGCAGGGTGGCATACAAGGCCTATGTAGCCAAAGATCTCCTGCTGTTCTATCAGTATAATGCTTGAGCTTTCCCATGGTTTGTATACTGGCTGTCTAATTGCATACCCATATTCTTTGGGAACAACAAAGTCCATATCACCCTGCTAATCTATCAATTAATCAATGGTGTCAAGAGCTCATTAGATATGCTTGTAAGAGCCCTCACCTCACAGATCTGAAAAACAGGGCTTGCCAGTCCCTGGAAGTCTAGAAAGCTTAGAAAATAAGCCCCTGCACTTTCTCAAATCCAGTGCTAGATGTAAATGCTGCATTATCAATACAAATGTAACAAATCCCTGTCAACCCATCTTCTGTAGGCTCTCCTTAACAAACAACTTATTGTAGGGTTAAAGCACCTGTCTGATGCCTTCTGTTTCAACCACTAGTGATAAACCAGGTCCAGCTCACCCATCTGCAGTGGGCATGTCTGAGTCACTTTATACCATGCCAACAGCTCAAGTTCAAGATATGTCAGAGGACAAGGATGGGCTAGAGCAAGCATTGAGCATTATGGCACACACCACAACGCGGCTGACCTGGAATTTCATGATCGGTGGCATGATCGGGTCTCACACAACAATCCCCATTCATGGTGAACACTGGTCCCATCTGATTAAAACTAGCACCAACAATGCATGACGAGAAGGTAAAACACAGGTATCCAAATTGACTATACTTACCATGGTCCCATTTTGAAGCTGAGTGGACTAGCCTTTTCCTGGAATGCTTCCCGTTCCAAAAAGACATAAGCTTAACTCTAATGACAAGACCATCTGCATGCTACTGTGATGAGATTCGAGCACGTGAAACCATAACAAATGGAAGGCGGCCGGGGGTGGTAAGGCAATGTCACGCTATTTTCAGGCAGCTACCGCACTGATCTCAGTCAAATCGGATGTTCGGAAAATACGACAGCATAACAAGACGCTGTAACCGAGCTAGCACTACACACAGGAGCCAACACAGCACGTATTCTGTCCTTCAAATATGACGCCAGGCAAACTTCGATTCGTAAACACAGAAGTGGGCGGCACTCTCCAAGTCAGGTAGCGTCGCCCAGCTCACAAAAACCGCCTCCAGTAACGCTCCACGATTGTCTGATGCGGCAGTTCTGACGCTGCTGCCAGATTTTCCTTGCTACACGAAGGTATACTTTCAAGCACTTAGATACTGACTTGAAATATACGTTACTTCAAGATCATTGGTCTACCGTTTCATAATCAATGAAAACATGTATTTCTCACACGTGAAATGTCTCCTCGCGTCTTTCTTACGCAGCATAATTGATGGCTTTTTCTTGAACATTGGCACCAGCCTAGGAAAACGGTCGTGGCACCAAGTGGAGATAGTGAGCAGCTTCCCACCCGTCGTCAGACGGAATGAATCATTGGCGTATCCAGGGTTACACCCAGCAGAGTGCCAAATCAAAGGAAAGGGGAACCCTCCAGCCAGGGGTCCCACTTTGCCGTCTTTGAGGCTCTGCTTTTGGCTCCGGAAAACCTTTTTAGCCTCGGGATCCCATTTGTCTGTTTCGAGCGTCGTTTCCCTATTTTTAGAAACGCTTCGGGCGTCTTTCACTACCAAAAAACGCTGGGCCTTCGGGCCTAGGGCAGGGTCAAATGCATAGTTTTCTGTTTACCTGGGGGGGGGGGGGCTCCCCCTTCCAACTTGAACTCCAGCCGTCCACCCTCCCAACCTGTTCCATTTGAGAAGTGGGCCAAATCCGGGCAAAACCCCCTTTGCCGGCGTGTTCTGGGAAACGTTCGTCATTTTCATTGTCCGGCCCAAGCCCATTTTTCGAAACTGCATTTTGCGGCCTGAGATCATTTTGAGTAAGTGAGAGAATTTCAATGACCTGATGAGGTCTAACCCAAAGCCGGCCCTAGGACATGCTGCTGGGTGAGCATGTATTTTTGCCCACCCCGACATTTTAGTGCGTCCATCCAAATCACCTGGCTGGTCTGCAGCAATCTTGGATCTAGTGGCCCACCGGTAGGGATGGAGAGGTCAGCACGTTTAACCATGCCCAGGAGCGTTACGTCGTTATGATGGAGATGAGGCTCAGGTATTGGTAGGATCAGCTGTGTGATTGGGTGTGAAGGCGGTGCGGAAGGCTCCTGTCCGGAGTGAGATGGGGCCTTAGTAATGCACGGACCGGGGTGGGCGACATTTGACAGTTGAATGACAGCTCAGGGTTGCCGTCATGTTGGGGAGGAGGTCCCTATGCAGCACAGTGGACTACCAAACTATATGAACAGGTTTGGTGGTCCCGAGTCGCGAAACGACAGGACGCGTTTGAGCTCCGTGAGGAAGTTAAGCTTGGCTCAGCACTCTGATACGAGTTCAATCCTGCGGTGTTTGAACCATCGTCGCATCAACCTAGAGGCCAGGGGCGGGATTTTGCAAAATGAGTTGCGGAGAGGGTGGTTGTACAGAGAAATGAAGAAACTTATCCCAGATTACGCCAGAGAGCGTTTTTCCGGATTTGGCCCTCTATCCTCTCAAAGTTAAAGGGGGAGGGGGACTGTCAAGCGAATACGAATCTACGCCCCTAACCGAAACTACCCATAAAAACCAGCCAGTAGTTCGCTAAAACCGGTTCGAAACCCGTCATTGCCACCCTAGATGTACCAAATCCGATTTTCAGCCCGCGGCGGAGCCCCATGCGGCCCAGCGCCGCCCCACCATGCACTCTCAGATGATACAAGCGCACGATCGTCCCGGCAGGCGTCCGCGTCGCTTTGATCGCGGCATTCAAAGCCACCCCTGTCGGAAATCGTGTACGTCTTCGTCAGCTTCAAAGACGCGAGATCGGGCGCGGAAATCCGGCATATGCTCCTGGTCCTTGCACGCGAGGAAGGCACGCCAGCGGCTGGCGGAGCACGTTTGCTGCCGAGTTTGCGGCTTAATATTTTAGCCGTTTGCCGCGGTGACCGCGTGGTCACATATCTAGCGTCCGTACCGGGCTCCGGCGTGGTCTTCCGTTCTCACTCGGCTTTGCCAGGAGCTACGATCCATGACGCGCAGTTCAAAACTGTATTCACAAACGGGCTCTGATGGACTTGGATGGTCACAAACGGACCCTAATGGGCGAGCGTGTTCGATACAAATGGCATTAACAAGATGCGCACCGGGCCACGAGACCAGGCGAGGTGACAGCTGGGCTCGATCATCTCGAACCTCGAACACCGACGCACTCGGGATCGCGAGGATTGCGTCACGAACCGAAGCGAGGCTTCCGGAGACAAAAATTGCGCGGTAATCACCAACGCCTTCACAGTGGCGGAGCGCTGCTGCGAAGACCACGGCAGATGACACGGACTCGCGGCCCCCCAATTGTACACGTACACCGCGCTAACCCGGTCGCGTGCAGAATTTCCTGCTTCTCTCACGGCACGAACCAGCATTGGCCCGCGCATGCGCCATCGGTCGCGCGGACAGCACGCCAGTCACACCGAGTTCGGACACGGCGCCAGACCTAACTCTCGATCGCCGCCAAACCACGGCAGTGAAACAGGGGCAGGCCAACAGCTGCGGAGAGGTCGTGAGCGAGTGTTCGCACCAAGCACACTCAAAACGCCCTGAGTGCACATCCAAATGCAGTAATGGCATTCAAATGGCGCAATGACGTCATCCAAATGCCGTAATGACTTCATCCAAAAGGCGTAATGACTTCATCCACATGTCGTAATGACGTCATTCAAATGTCATACTGACGTCATCCGAATGACATGTCATTCACGTGCCGTAATGACGTCATACAATTGATATAATGACGTCATACACATGACGCAATGGCCGACGGAGCGCGAGCATCGACAAACACCACAAGACGTGCCTCGTCGATCCCGTCACGAGCCAGTGACAAGACATCCCTGCTGACAAACCAAATCACATATCCGTTGACACGCTAAAAACAAACTCACACATTTGCAGGCATCCACCGACGCAGACACGGCACACGCGCGGCAGGAATGAGTATGGTGCCCACGGGCACGGCTGCGCCATCTTCGGCCGCTCACGTCGAGTGCACTCGCACTCGGTGTCGCGTCAGCAGCCAGTTGACCTTGAAGCTGAGGTCACAGTCCGGACACTGGAAGTTCTTGGCGTCGCTATGCCGGAAGACGATGTGCTTCCGCAGGTCGCCGCGCGTGTGGAACTGCCGGCCGCATTGCTGCCAAATGGCGATGACGTCAGCTGGGCGTCGGTTATTGGGTTTTAAGGGCGCGTCAGCTGCAAAGGTCACTCACGCCGGCGTCAGCGGAGCGTAAAATGACTCCGCTGGGTCACGGGTGGTATAAGGCGCTAGACGGCCATTCACGTAACACGGTAAAGCACTCCTGCAGGAAAAGTCCGCCACTGATTCAAGGGCAACAAAATTTGCTACCGCTGGCGTGCTCAGCTTGAAATTTTGTCTACCGCCGCAGTTTGAGAGCCTCGTTCGAAAACCACTCCCCGACCATCTGCAGCTAAGAAATTACTGGTATCCAGTGGTCTGCAACTGCAAAATGTGCAAATATTTTGCACTTTTGCGGAACTATATGCATTCAATGTTACACAGTCATCAACAATTATTGCACACCTGTACCATCTTTAGCATCATAAAGCATTTGAATGCACAAAACCGCAACAACAAGTTTGTTTTCCATATACACAGCTTTTACAACACAAACATCTGTAGATGCGAGCATCTTTATGACAGCTTGTGGATAAGTACCTCCTTTTTTTCTTCTTTTCTTTTTGTGTCGAAAGATTCAAGAAATCTTGTTAGAAATATCGTTGGGATAATGAGGCCAGTTCATTCCTTCGGTCTTTTTGCGCTGACACCGATGCAAAAGCAAGACTTACATCGCACGTGAAACGAGGCTCCTGATGGGTGTTGATGTGTTGATTGAGGTTGGACTTGTTGATGAAGCGTTTGTCGCAGTACGGACACGGCTGCAGCTTCAGCGGGTGCTCCTGCGCCAGCAGATGGACAGATCAGGTCTCAGAGACAGGTCAGGCGTCAGAATCAGGTCAGGCGTCAGACAGATCAGGCGTCAGAATCAGGCCACGAGTCAGAGACAGACCAGGCATCAGAGACAGGTCCGGTGTCAGAGACAGACCAGATCAGATTATTATGATTTGTAACCATGACTATATGGCTATGCATTAGAGGTGGTTTATGAATACACCGCACACACAGGCGTTAGGTGCCGCCCTTCCGAACGCCCTAATGCTTTACTTCTCTCTCGTGAGTGATGCAGATCTGCTCACTGGCACACTGCAAATACGGCAGCACACAGATGTGGAGCACGAGCATCGGCCCCTGGAGAGCGGTCCTGTCACTTCCCTGACGCTCCTTCGATCGTCATCGCGCGATGTTGGTGAAAATTAATTTCTATGGGACTTCGGGTTCAATCACGTTACGTCTTGTAAGTATCCAAGCCCAATTTGACGGTCAATCGACGGTTCCTGGTTGGTGCACCCCACACACAGCATCCGACATCATCAACATTCCTAGCCTGGCTGTGCTGGCCGGCGGGCTGCGCTCACCTCATTCCAGTGGTAGTGGAGTGCAATGTTGGTGGAGAAGTCGCGCCGGCAGAAGCGGCAGCGGAAGCTCTTGTCGCTGGTGTGAGAGACCTTGTGCGCTGCGGACAGACTGGTTAGGTCAAGTCAGGTAGGCCCGGGCGACCTCAAGTCAGGTCAGTGTTAGTGACCTCAGGTCAGGCCAAAGTGGGTGACCTCAGGCCAGGTGATCTCAGTTCAGTGTTGCTGAACTCAGGTCAGATGATGATGATGATGATTTGGGGTTTAAGGGCGCATCAACTGCTGAAGGTCATGCAGTGCCCATAACCATCAATTTATGCTAAACAGGTCATCTAAGATCAGGTCAGAACAGGTGACGGTGAGGGCGAGTGACCTCAGTTCAGGTCAGTGTGGGTGACCTCAGGTCAGGGCGACGTCGTTGACCAGTAGTCACAAATGCAATAATAAATTCATCACTAGGTTGCAGCACGCTAACAAAGATGGCATCTAATCAGCAGTTAGACATCCAGAACAAAAAACTACCGAAAACCTTCGAAAGACCGCAGGAAAGTACCAGAAGGAAAACGGTAGATAGGGTAGAGACTGTCTTTTGCATGGCAGCTACCACCACGGCTTCCCAGCCGGGCCGGACACGCACCCCTAAGGTTGGTCGGCGTGCTGAACGTCTCGTCGCAGACATCGCAGGTCAGGGCGTCGTCCCCGCCGCTGAGGCGGCTCCGCTTCGGGCCGCGGCGCCGCCGGTGTGGCGTGGTCTGACCCACCTGCAGCGACGGGGTCACACGGGTCAGCCGAGGTCAGCAGAGGTCAACGCGCCGGTGTGGCGTGGTCTGACCCACCTGCGGTGACGGGGTCACACGGGTCATCCAAGGTTATCCGAGGTCATCGCACCGGTGTTGCGGACTGGCCCACCTGAGGTCACGAGGTCACGGGGTCATAAGGTCATCCGAGGTCATCGAGCCGGTGTATTAAGGACTGGCCCACCTGGGGTCACAACGTCACGGGGTCACAACGGCCAGCTGAGGTCAGCAGGGGTCAACGCGCCAGTGTGGTGCACACCGATCCACCTGGGGCCACAAGGTCCCAAAGTAAAGCTGAGGTCACATTAGTGTGGTTTGGAATGCTCCATCCGGGGTCACAATGACACATGCCATGTGTCAATTGAGGCCAGAAGAGGTCACCACATAAGTGTGGCATAGACATCTCCACCTGGGGTCACGAGGTCGTACGGGTCAGCCGAGGTCAGTAGAGAACATCGCGCCTGTTGACATGTGTTGAGATTATTACGTCACATCGTTAGAGGCAGTTTGAGGTCATGGCCATAGCAGTCAAATGAGGTCAGCAGGTCACTGTGCCAGTTGCTGTGTGTGTGAGGGAATTCTGTTCAAGTTCAAAAATCTGTTAGAAAATCAAGTTCAAATAAGGTCGTCAAAGGTCATAATTCGTCACAGGCTAACTGAGTAACTCAGCCATGGCGTCAGAATAAATCTGGGATTAGCTGGTCACAAGACCCAAGTTTAGCCAGGGTTACCTGATTAAGGAGTCGAGAGTTTACCTTGGGTTGTCTGACAGGGTCTAGGTCCACCTGGACTTATCTGGTCACTGTGTCAGAGCTTTGCTGCGCTGTCTGGTCAGCTATCAGATCCTGGATGAAATTAGCAATTGACTCCTGTGGGGGTCATATAACACTACTGAAACACAAAAAGTCATCAAAGGGCTCAGGTCTGGATGCGAGGGATCAGTCGTGGTCAAGCCATGTGGTCGAGTCACGTGGTCAGGTTACGTGGTCAACCGCTGAACCCTGCGGCCGCTGACCTGATCGCCGACGACGTCCTGCTCGTGCAGCTCGGACGCCTCCAGCTGGGCCAGGTACGACATGGACGGGTCGTAGGTCAGCTGGCCGCCGTACGGCTCCTGCGCGCGCCACAGAGCGGCGTCAACAAGCGCCCCGGCCCGTGGCGCCCGGAGAACCTCCGCGCGCGGCAGGGACACCGGGGAGGCACCGCCGGCGGCTCAGCCGACCGACTCCTCACGTGCGGTTCAGAGGGTGGAGGGATGTATTCTAAGGGTCGAAAGTTATCAGTTGATTCCCTCACGGGTGTAAAGCGAGGGCGTCATGCGAGCTACTCCCGGAGTTCACAAAAGTGCCACGCGACTGTCAGCCAATTGGCTGGCGCGTGGGAAAGACCCGCCCGCGAACGCCGCGCACATTGGTGGAGCCCAGCATAGCAGAGGCCTCGAGCGCTCGACTGCAGCTACAGCCTGAGCCTGACACCACACGCAGCGGTGGAGCCGGGCACAGCAGAGGCCTCGCCGCGCCCAAATGCAGCTACAGCCTGACCCTGACTCCGCACACAGCGCTGGAACCGAACACAACAGGGTCATCCAGCGCTCAAACGCAGCTACAGCCTGAGCCTGACTCCGCGCGCACAGCGGTGGCACTGGGCAGGGCAAAGGCCTTGCCGTGCTCAACTGCAGCTGCAGCCTGGCAGCCTGACCCGGTAGACGACCACGTTGTTTCCGTCCACTTCGTCCGCCTCCAAGACGATGGTCGGGTTATCTAGCGTCGTGCCATCTGCAGAGCAGGGGGCAGTGATGGTCATGTCACTTTAATATGTTTGTTTCCGTCATACCACTTCAATATGGTTCCGCTCCATCTTATCACTTGAAGATGGTTCCCTTCTGTCACATCACTTGAAGATGGTTCATTTGTCTGGATATTTGTCAGCATGTAACACTTTTCCAGTCACCAGGTCGCGCACGCCGATGGGGATCGATGGACGGGATTGATGATGATGATTTGGGGTTTTAGGGCGCATCGACTACTGTAGGTCATGCAGCGCCCGATGGACGGGATTCTACACCAGGGATCCATTACGGATCTAACGACGATCGCACAGTACACTCGCCACTCTGCATCACTCTGAAGCTAAGGTTCACTGTAGCCCCACATCAGCACAGAACATTGTCGCGATATCTACTGTAATTACTAATATTTAATTTCTAGAAATATTCAGCGGCTGTCTGCCCCCCGTGCGGTACACAGGAAGCTCCCGGAATCAAATATATGGTCTGGTGGAATCATGTTTCAAACAGTGCAAAGTTGAGTTTTTGGTAACATCACCTAAGAGTTTTGAAGCAATTACACAAAAACTAGACCATAAGTGAGTGATGAGCATTTGAATTTCAAGGCGCATGGACTGCACAGCGTCATGCAGCAACTAGGGGCTTCAGGAGGGAGAAAGCAAAAATGCCACGTTTTACCATCTTGGGACCCATTGTGCTATCGCTTCAACCATAAACACCCTGGGTCTGCAGCAGCAGTGACCTACTGACCGATGCTGATAAAGCTGAACTCCTGCGAGGCCTGCGCCGTCGCCGCGACCTCCTCCGTCGGCGGCGGCGGTGGTCCTTCCTGCTTCACATCATCAGCGGACTGCCCGTCCGAGCGTCGGCTGTGCACCTCGATCGGGAAGGGCATCTTGTACTTGAGCTTCACCTGACCGCACAGAGATGGCAGCACCGGTCACTGTCGGGCTTTGGGAATGCCGCTAGGTTTTGTTGATGATGTATGGAGCAGCTTCAAAATAAAGTATGGTGAGGCAGAAGACATGTGATAGTTAAGCTTGTTGCATACATCATTGACACAACTAACTGGTGTGGTTGAAAGCATTGTGCTCTATGATGAAAGTGCATACTTGGGTTTCCGAAAAATTGTGCTCACAGATCACAATGAATAATGATCAGGAAATGTTCAATGAACATCAGAATCAAAGCCATGAATCACAGTGCTCTTTATACATAATCACATAACAAAAAGAGCAATGGAACATCGTCTTGCTGCCACACAAGCAAACTTAAAGCAGACAGGTCCCCTAAGCAACCAGACAACAATCCATGTACAAATGCAGTTTTCAACACTGAATTACTAGCCACAGATGTGGGTAAGCCACCTTAATGCACAAAACCAAGAGGGCATGTTCATGAAACAAAACATGCCAAAACTTCAGAAGAAAAGAAAATGGTCCACACCTCATTCTCCAGGGCCATCAGCTTGATCTCACACTCATCCACCTGGTTGATCAGGGAGGAGCAGCTATTGCAGATTTCCTGAGAGTTCTCCAGCGAGTCCTAAGGACGGGTGATAGTCACAACAGCAGGCTGATACATACAGAGATGTCACCACATGAGATCCTTGTGGCAAGACTACAAAAGTTGCCAGTTGACATTAAAGTGCTTCCAATGAGGATCATAGGGAACATGCAAAAGGAGGGAAATGTATAAAGAGTGCTTGACAGCACGTGAGCACTCCACACAGGTAAATAATAACATTACATGACTTGAGCCATTCTTGGTATAGATCTTCCCAATGGTTTGCATGGGTGGTTTTCAGTACAGAGTACCTGCTAAGCATCACTTGGTGCATGCACCCCGAAACCGCAACCCAAGTCGTGATGTCCAGTTCAAGGGATAATGTTGCCTCCACCCTTTCACCAGACAGGAATGCAGAGGGTTTGACATGCAGCACAATGCTAGGGTACGGCCACCCCCGACCCAGGTTGACCCTCTCTGGCCGGTTGCTGGGAGAGGTTTCCATTTCAGCTCAGCCAAACAATGGGCCCCTCTACACTGGCATCCAGCATGGATGGATAAGGAGTCCAGCATCTTTCCCTGAGACCACAGGAACAACATTTGCTTTCCCTTCTCACCAACCGCTAGGACCACTCCGAGATGGATACCTACATTAGGTACCATGTGGTATGTGGTGGCTGCATGGCCAGGTTCAAAACCCTAGACTGACAAGTTCAGAGTCAAGATCACAAACTTATAGAGGGTAGCCAAGTGCAACACACCACAAATTGTGGATTTAAAGAATGAGGTGTAACTGTTAATGCATATAAGGGAAACACATGATTTGCTGTGCATAATGCTACTAAATCACAAAACAACATTCAAAAGCAGCTTTGTAGTTTCCTAAGCAAGTTGGAGGGGGCTGCAGCATGCCCAGCTTTGATAAAGATAGCCCAAATCTGGGGAGTAACATATTTAACATGCACTTTGAAGACACACAAGGTAGGGAAATTATACTTGTTTGCAGCCCCAGCCCCAAACAGCATGTTTTACAACACTACACTTTGGCTCGAAAGGCCCAATAATTTGTAACTGCCCTATACTGAAAAGCAGCATACCTGTTTAAATGGAACTTGTACTAATTTGGAAAGCTTAGATGAAACCAGGGTTTTGGAAAAGTTTGTCCGAGTCTTGAATATGTTCAGCCGCTCCACAAGTGCATGCTTGCAGATCAAACAAGCTGCTGTTGTGGTTGAATCTTCCATGGCTCACTGTGAATGTAAACATGGCATCAAAAAAACATTTGGATATGTTTCAGAATGTTCAAATACATTCAAGCATTCAGAGGCAACCAAACATCTCAAGCAAATGTATAAGATAAGTTACATCTCCTCAGACATTTTGACTGCACAGTGTCAATGGCAATTACTAAAGGTGCTGAATTCTCCTACAGCTGGCTGAATTGGAATGTGTTGTCACTGAACAGCTAGAAGTTATCTCTGAAAATATGCATCATGCCTCTTAGGAGACGCAAAAAAATAAACAACACCTAGACATCGCATACCATAAATCACCTAACCTTGTTATGCTTTTTCATGACCCAGGCATGAAAGATAGCTGCCCAAGGCAGATCAGAGACAATAATAATCTGGGTGAAGACAAAGCCAAATTTTGACTTAGGAAGAGGCAAAATTCACACTTTTGTTGAAATCCTGGGTTTGTACCACCTAGTATCTAGTGTAAGCTTCTTGGCCCGGGGATAGCCTCCACCCTTACCGCCCCCATACGGTGCCCCCATCACCATACGGTGCAACAACTAACAGGGCTGGTACTTCCAGGAGCTATTTAGGACCACAAAATATGTTCGGCAAATTCGCTGTTCTTACTGTGGGGCATACCAGCATCCTCTCGGTTGACGGGCGATTCCGGATTCCCAAGGGATGGGACCAGATCGAACCCCATATAAAGGGGGCGGTCAGGCACCTACAGTCCTTGCCCATCCCGAGGCCCAACGAGTCCATATCCCCTGTCCACACACACCCAGTGCCAATATACCCCAGTGAAATGAAACTTCAGTTTCCCGGTTGGGAACATTTGCCAGATAAATCAGGCAAAGCACGGCCTTGCTCACGGTTGTCCAATCCGAAAGGTTGAGTAGAGCCGACATAGTTGGTATATACTACAAAATATAAATGTTATGCTGGTCCACAGATGTTCTGAATATGCCATCTAATTTCGAGTAAATCTATACCTTATGATCATTTTCATCGAAATAAAGCTCAAATGCAATTTCCTGGATATGTTTGATTGAAAACTTACACAAACAGGAAATCTTGTTGTATAGGATACACAGTTTATACCAAAAAACATTTCAGACGTATTCGGTGCAGGTTAGGTTTCAAATACTACTAGACTATCTTGCCCTATGCTGTAGTTACAGATATAGTGGTTATAGTTAAAGTAGTTATAGTTATAGTATTAGTATAGTTACAAATAGAGTAGGATTGAAGGTCACGTAAAGCTGCCCGTTGGATCACGCGGTATCCTCCCTTAACACAAGCCTAGCGTTACTGACAGGAGTAGCGCAGACATGGGGGGGGGGGGGGGGGGCGGGGGTCCACGGGCCCCCCCCCCCTTAGGTGGGGGTGGGGCACGATTAATGCAAAGAGTGTTCCACATTCATATAGTGTTTTAAACTGAAATGGCCTCATTGGAGATCTTCCGATGCAGCTCACGGCCATGCCCCTATTTAAGACCTAATCCCTCCGTTTCCTGAGACTGCAAAGATGTGTGACAGTAATCGTTGGAGAGTATGCCATAGTCACCTCATCATTTATGATGTCATGATACCGTCATTCAAATCCTGGCATTTCATAGCCATGCGGCGATCAAGGCCAAACAAACTGTATCTGACGGTCGTGAGCACGACACGATTTCCAGACATAACGGTTGTCAAATGGCTTGCCATCAATGTTGCGCAAGGTTTGATGGCAAAATTAAAAAATGACGTATCGAGGGGCATATTAACTGAACCGGAAAGCTGTGTTGTACGGGGAAATCTTTTCCACTTAAAGGTAAACCAATAGTTATAAGTGAGCTGGTTTCATCCTATCTGATGCCTGCTTCAGTATCTTCAAAAGTGAAACGTGCCCTTTAAGGAGCGCATTACGTGCCCAATTTGGGGGCCCGAAGAGCCCGAAAGGCCGGCCGGAGGTCTTTTTCGGGGGCCCGGTCGCCAGGGCCGGACACTCCAATGACGGCCGAGGGGTATCGAATTGATCACCCTGTGCGCTGATCAAGGCTCCTGAGTCGATAAGGGCCTATATGTCGGTCAGACACCACCACTAACGCACAGTTGGCTTCGGAGCAGCGTGGGCCTGAGAGCCCATTTCCCACACAGGGACAAAGCCGGAGTCAGCAATTCACATTGGTCGGGACTCCAGCGTCGGTCAGGGCCCGACAGCGCCTAGCGGGGGCCCTGTGTTGGTAAGGGGCTCGAGTCGACAAAAGGCAATGTTTGAAGAAGCTCGAAGAGCCTGGAGAGCCCACCGGGTCCGACGATCAAGGACCCCATTGGAGAATCTAAGGGCAGGAAGGGCAGGCCGGAGTCCTATTCAGGGACCGTGGCCAGCGAGGACGGGCCCTCAAATGACAGTCAGAGGGCTCCTCGCACCGATCGAGGACCCCCTGAGTCGACCTGGGCCTATACGTCGGTCAGGCATCACCAGTACCGCACAGTCGGCTCCGTGCCGGTGTGGGCCTGAGGGTTCACTTCCCACTCAGCTGAATAGCTGGCTCCAATTAGTTATACAGGATGGGGCCCATGTATGCGTCAGGAGCCCACAGCGCCTATCAGAGAGTCCTGTGCTTACAATGGGCTCCGAGCCGACCCAGGACAGTGCTTCATGGTGCCCAAAGAGGGTTGCGGACGGCCCATCGGAACAAACGACCTTAGGCCCGGTTTGAGCGCGTGAGAGCCCGAAGGACTGGCTGTAGTTCACATAAAGGTGAGGATCCGCTGAGACAACGCAGATGTCAAAGTCTGTCAGAGACCACGAACATTTAACTGTCGGCTCTCTGTCAGTCACAACTCCGAGGATCATCTCCCAAGCAAGGGCAAGACTGGGGGCCACGAATTGCATCGGTTTGCGTCCCTAAAACAATGTTAGGGCCTCTGTGTCAGTATTGGGCGCACAGTGCCCTACAAGGAGTCATATGCTGGCTAGTGGCCCCTAGTTTGTCACGGGCTTTGTTTGAGCAGGTCTGAAGTGGGACCAAAAGGCCCTCAGGACCAATAATCAAGGACCAGATTGGATTCGGGACCGGCCCTCTACCCATAGCGATGTGCCCTGAAATGTCAGTCAGAGGGCTTTTATAAGGGCTCTCTCATTAGGGTCATCTATCCCTGCTATATAGGGCCACGGCAAGGAAACAAGGAGCCGGCTCCGTGTCCGTCTGAGCCCTTGAGACCTATTTTCCAAGTAGGAACAAGACGGGGCTCGCAAGTTGCAATCAGCCGGGGGCCACAGCGCCTAACGTTGGTTCTGTGGTGGCAAGAGACCCCGAGCCTACCAAGAACGGTGTTTGAGGGACCCGAAGAGGGGCCAAAGGGTCTCTCGAGACCAAAGATCAACGACCCGTTTGAAAGGCTGAAGGGCCCGAAGGACTGACAGTAGGTCACATCAAGGACCCTCGTCCGCAAGGCCGTGATCTCAAATGTCAGTTAGTGTTAGAATCTCAAATGTCAGTCAGTTAGACCCTGAGACAGACCCATCTCCCAAAAGGGACAAGGGTAGGTCCACATATTTATGTTTTTCGGGCCCCTGCAACTATGCGGGGCTCCTGTGTCGTTCAGGCGGCCACAGTGCCTACCTACCATCATGTGTCAACAGGGGGCCTGAAGCCGATCAGGGCACGATTTGCCTAACAGGGACGGGGCGGGACCCCGAATGACAGAGGCCTTCTGCGTTGGTTGGGGCCCACTGACAGTAAAAGAAAACATGAGAACTTATGACGGGTGTTCACGTTAAGACAATGGAAGGGTCTTATGCCAGTCAGAGCCTCCAGTACCGAACCGTAAGCCCTCCGGTCCAACTCCAGCAACGGCCCGTTAGGCCAAACTGTGGTGTTATGTGTCAGTTATTTGACCCCCTGCGGCGATCAAGTATGTTGTTGCGCCCATGACGGTTCCTCCGCCGATCTGGGGTCAGCTGTGTCGGTCAGATGGCTTCCTGCACCAAGGAGGGGACCAATGTGATATGATGTATCCCTCTATAGATCTTCGGATCGGCAGGGGATCACACCCCGTGTCGTCAGAATGACAGCCGGAAGACAACGCGCGGTGGAGTGGAATGACTCTTCAGCCCTCGACCGGGAACAATTATGTGCCCTTCTTCTCACCGGGACCCCCTTCCCGGAAAGAAGCAAGGGGTCTCATTGATGTTGAATACAGTGAATCGAAATGAGTTCAGAACCGAACAAAGCCATTCGATGTTTGCCTGAGATCGCTAATTCTGTTGCAGAATCCACTGGTGAAACGAATTACATTACAAGGTTTCAGCCTACGCGCCCACAATCTCGGGAGCAAGGACAACCATGGCCTGGGTTGCAGCTTCCGTAAAACCGAACGGCGTTGGCCATTGCAAGTGGCCCCAGGCAGCGGGTGCCAAGCCCTCGAGAACGACCGTCGTAAAAATATTCGTGAATGTCTTTGAAAATTAGTGTACAGTTCAAAGATTGGAATGGGTGTATCATTTTTACCATTACGAAGTTGTCCTCTGGATGGATCAGCAATGAAAGCAACACGAGAGTGGCCATTTACCTTTATTCTTTCAGTATAGCCATCAGATTCCAGCACCACTTTGCGGTGCCGCAAAGGTCAGTCTGTTATTATCACCAATCAAAGAAATGCGTAGGTCAAATGCACGCCCGAGCTACCTTCTAAATGTGCAATTTAACCCCTAAGGCGTTCTAGGGTACTTACTGAAGATGCGTCATCATTTTCGTCCACCCGTTGGCCACAGTCTAGTGTTGGCCGCAGGCTGAACACTGTGCTGCCTATGCAGACTGCAACGCCTGGCGTCGAAATTTTGGTTGCTTAGGTTTGCGAACGCACATGCGCAAAATTACGTTACTACGACTGCGACGCAAACTAGGACCCTGTTTCGGCCTACGCTGGCGTTCAATCCGCGGACCCTTCGACATGTCTGGAAAATTGCGAAAAAAATCTGGCGTCGTCCCTGACTGTAAGCGTTTAATAAAAGGCACGAATAAACCAGTGTTAAGCGAATGGCCGCGGCGGCTTATTTCGTGAAGCTTGTTTTTTATTCCTCGCTTACGTAAGTTTTTCAGTGCATTAGCAGGGAACATTATTCACATAGATAAGACAGTAGTATTAGCCTTATTCCTAGGAGAAAAAACGATAGAATGGAGAGTAGTTGGGTTGTTTAGTTGGGTTGATATTTCGGCAACGTGCCTTTAGCAAAACAATGGCAGAAGTGAACTCAAAATTGCCTGCCGGTAATCCTACTTGATATTTCAGTCTTTTTTAAACAGCAAGGCACTGTTTTTACAGGACACCATCATTCAGGGGAAAAAACAAAGAGCGAGCTCCAGCCATCTATGCGATACAGCGCCTATCTAAGGATTAGAACACGCGAACATACGTGTACATGCAAACGAATTCAAGCAAATGGGCATCACGCATCACCTATCCCAACTATATCTCCGTTCTCCTGGTTTTTCTCCGAGGAATGAGGCTAATTATACTGTCTTATGTGTGATTCCTGGTTTGTTTCATCTCATAGTTGATTCCTGATTTGTTTTATATCAGTTTTTATAAAGATTTGATCCGAATCTTTTGAGTGGATGAATTTCTGGGATCAGAGCTCACGTTAAGCAGCGCTTGCTGCGTGAGTCCTGACCCCTACGATCCGAATGCGCAATTCCATGCCAACGGCAGAATTTGGTAGCGAAAGTCCAGCGCGCCGCAATGCTCGGCACCGTGCATCCTGCCCTCTGATGTCAACTGACCTTTAGCGCAACCGCTGCCACTGGCCGCAGGTCATACCTGTCAAGGGCAGAGCGAGCGCCTTAAGCGACTCGCTGCCAGCCCGTCACGGGTGGGTGGATCGGAAGGCAGGCGCTCCAACCAACGGAGCCACCGGGACGGACTTCATGTGCGTCTAAATGCATGATTAATTGTGTATTCTGGTTGCTTCTGGAATCTTCTTCAGCCAAACAACTTCAGCATAAACATGCAACTACAGCTAGAGTGAACACAGCAACGCAGCTGCAACGTATTTGCTTAAGTTGAAGCGCATTCAAGCAAAGTGGTTCTCTAATTGATCTAGTGAACCCCGTGCCATGTGCCGTGTCACCTAGTCCGGGTGGGGGCACTCCTCGTCTCGATAAAGCCCGTGAAGTCGTGATGTGCGGTGTCGCCTAGTCCGGCTGGAGGCACTCCTCGTCTCGATAAATCCAGTGAAGTCGTGATGTGCAGTGTCGCCTAGTCCGGCTGGAGGCACTCCTCGTCTCGATAAATCCCGTGAAGTCGTGGTGTGCAGTGTCGCCTAGTCCGGCTGGAGGCACTCCTCGTCTCGATAAATCCAGTGAAGTCGTGATGTGCAGTGTCGCCTAGTCCGGCTGGAGGCACTCCTCGTCTCGATAAATCCAGTGAAGTCGTGATGTGCAGTGTCGCCTAGTCCGGCTGGAGGCACTTCTTGTCTCGATAAATCCCGTGAAGTCGTGATGTGCGGTGTCGCCTAGTCCGGCTGGAGGCACTCCTCGTTTCGGTAAATCCCGTGAAGTCGTGAAGTCGCCTCAGGGCCGCCAAAAGGGTGTCAGAGCGGTGGCGGTGCTGCGCTCTGAGGTCGTGTTAAGAAGATATTCGTTCTTGTCTTCAAAGAGGTATCTCCTGTAGAGCCATGATTTTACGATGGTGAGACGACTGATGAATATCCTGGTATTCGATAATGTTCCACCATTAAAGGGTCATGTGGTCGTCACGGCAGTCTGGACTGCGTGAGAAATGCACTCGTCACTGTTAAGTAAAACGCGAATTATCTTATCTGGGCCACCTTGTGTAAGCGGTGGTTTCACATGGACACAGACTGTTATTAAGGATTTCTACGACTTCTTTGCGAAACTGATGCGTTTTTTAACCGAGAACTTGCAGCTTAAACGGGAGACCTCAATAAGTGCCCCATGTATCCGTTCTGACAGAGAAAAGGATACGCCAGAGCGTGTAATTTCACACGACTGGGGATCAGAAGATCTACATATCGCTCTCCACATTAGTGATATGACTGCTTTCTTAGTCGTCATGGGGTGTGCGGTATGCTAGTGCAGTATGGTTGGTGTGGCCACGAGTTTTTAAGACCTGGTCCAAACCAGCTGGTTCAATGCATTTCTGAAATCAGCGCCCACGCTAAGCAGTGCTTGTTGAGCCCTGAGCCGACAGAAATTGGGTTGTCCGCAGGATTTTGTGATAAAAACGCTTAACATACCGCAGTGCTCGGCACGGCCCGTCCTGCCCTATGACGTCATCTGACAGTTAATGCGGCCGCTGCCACCGGCCGCGGGCTATTCCAGTCTTGGACTAATAGCGAACGCCTAAAGCGACCCGAACCCGACACTCTACAGGTCTGTAAATCGGATGACAGGCGTTCTAACCAGCTGACCTGTCGGAACGGACTGAAGTACCACGTGTGACGGGACAATTTAAAGTACGGTTTGGCGGTGCATCTTCCACCCGGTTGTTCTATTAAAAGGGTGTCGAGGAACGGAATAATCCAAGTTTGTACGGTGTGCTTCAGAGCGAAAGGCGAAGAAATGTGATCATGGGGATCGAAACGAGTGTGTCGAAAAAAGATGGTGAATGACGTAACTATGAAGTCATGAATGCCAAGGTGACTTTGAAATACTCTCCCCGATATACTTTCCCCCATGATCGCGGGCGTATAGCGGAGAAACTAGAGGCGCTTAGGTCTTGAAAGGGCAGGGTGGTGAACAGCACCGAAACGTCTTCAAGATGGCTATTTCAGCTCAAAGCTCCATACACATGTGGAACACTCCCTGCCATAATTATGGTTGCCGAAAAGTGGATGACTTTGACCGCATGCCAAGCCACACGGTCGTAACTGCTCAAAGCGGTATGTCGCTGCGATGTACGACACAAATAGCTTACGCCTGATGCGTTCCACTGCTTGGCTCGTGTGGTGGGTACAAGTTTGCATTTCTCTCGGACGCTCGTCTTAGACACTTATAACCCACACACAATGCGTTCCACTGCTTGGCTCGTATGGTGGATATAACTTTGCGTTTCTCTCGGACGCTCATCTGAGACACTTATAACCCGCACACAATGCGTTCCACTGCTTGGCTCGTATGGTGGATATAAGTTTGCATCTCTGTCCGTCGCTCATCTTAGACACTTATAATCCGCACGCAATGCGCACCACTGCTTGGCTCGTATGGTGGATATAAGTTTGCATCTCTCTCCGTCGCTCATCTCAGACATTTATAACCCGCACACAATGCGCTCCACTGCTTGGCTCGTATGGTGGATATAAGTTTGCATCTCTGTCCGTCGCTCATCTTAGACACCAATAACTCGCGCAAGATGCGCTCCACTGCTTCGCCCGTGTGTTGGGCTCGAGTTTGCATCTCTCTCCGTCGCTCATCTGAGACACCAATATTTCGCGCAAGATGCGCTCCACTACTTCGCTCATGTGTTGGGTTCGAGTTTGCACCTCTCTTCGTCGCTTTTCTGAGGCACCAATAGCTCGTACATGATGCACTTCACTGCATGGCTCGTGTGGTGGGTACGAGTTTGCATGTCTCTCCGTCGCTCATCTGAGACACCAACAGCTCGCGCATGATGCGCTCCACTGCTTGGCTCGTGCGGTGGGTACGAGTTTGCATCTCTCTCCGTCGCTCATCTGACGGCTGCAGGTGCGCCGCCGCGGACGCCGCCTCCGCGGCGTGCACACGTTCACCGGTACCGGCTGGGGACGATGGGTATGGGGCTGGGGTTGGGGACGATGACCTGGGATGAACCGCACTGGTTGCCGGCCGGGTTTCACAGCGAGTGAACATGACATGACCGCAGGGGTCGCCACGAGCGCAGCCGGTACTGAGGTCGGCGCAACTCGGACCACACAAACTTTTGGGCAGGTTGGGGATTATTGTGCTTTGACCACATTGAATGGCACGCGAGCGGCAAAAAAAACCGGAACATGGTCACCCACAGGACAACTTAAGCTGCCTATGTATGCAGTCAGTCACGCTAACCGGATAGCGCCACACAAACCAGATACCAATGAGACAAACAACCAGCCACCGCCGGCGCGCAGGACTTCGGCAGAGTACGGACCACGCGGGCTGTTCGCCGCCGCTGCTGGGTTTCTGCAGCGGCGGCTGCAGCGCCCAAGGCGATGGCGCGCGGTAGAGCTTGCACAGTCCGGCCCGGCCGGGCGGCCCGGGACGGAAGGCAGGTTCTGCCCGGGCTGCGGCGGCTCCGGCGGGTGCGGAGAGAAGTGGGAGTGATCTGCTCGCGTACAGGTACGGCAGTAGCGGCAGGGGCCAGACGGCATGTGTGAGTGCGTATGGACGGTGGGTAGAAATATCCGATTCGGGTAGTGCTGGTGTGGGATTGAAATATCCGCGCTTCAATGCTGTTGAGCGTAAAGGTGATATGCATTAATTTTTTACTTTCAGTTTTCATTATGTGGCTTACAATGAGCTCTTTATTCTTACAACAATTCACACGTTTTTGAAAACGGGATTTCTAAAGTTGTAAATGCGTCTTCGTTATAATAATAAAAGCGCAAAGCGGTGTCCTCGGTGCTGCTTTCGTTATGACTGAAAAAAGCAAACTAAGTCTCATATTTTGTGCAATGAAAAGCCCGATGCGCATCTATCGCCTATATCATTAAGTTTTCCACGTATTTTGCCAATCGCAAAACTTTTAATCATTTCAGCCCATGCCGTGCGTATTAAATTAATGGCCATTGATGAACTTTGGGGTCCTTGAAGAGCGCCTGCCCTCAGTCGTTTACGTTGGCCGTGATGTGACGCGCAAACAATGCTAAAGAGGGTTATAAAAGCAATTTAAGCTTACCACAGCAAGGACGTGCCCTGTTGGAAGTATGGCCTTGGGCTACAACGAATGTGCGAGCCAAAATCAATCAAAATAAGCTAAATATTTTGGATATCCGCACCCTCTGACCACGAAAACTCCAAGTACCTTGGCATGACATGACATGACATGACACGTGAATGTGCGACATTGCGCCTGCGGAGATAGATTTCAGCTGAAACAACTTGCAAGTTATACGATGCAGTAGTGAAAAAGGATGGCTGCCCACTTGTGCCAACGGCTGTAAGATGTGATTGCATCACCCAACACACATTGGAGTATGCACTTATTCATGTACACAGCATGCACGTATGTATACCTTGTTTATGTTGTCACATCACAAACCATTGCTTTCACAATGAGTAACCGAAACATGTACATCACGTTTGTGCAGTTGCATCGTCGGTGTGACCGTATCTCATAGAGCCGAACATGTTTAACCTATTTTGTTTCCAAAGCTAAAGAGCTAAACTGAAAGCAGTTTTAAGCTATGTCAAAAATGTCGAATTGCTGCCTTGCCATCGAACTTGATGGCGAATCTGCTACCCTTGAGCAACGACATGCCGAATGCCTAGCACTGCTGTTTGTATACCCATCACTGCTGTTATATATCTAGCACTGCTGTTTGGCTAGATTTGACTGAGCTAGTTTCGGAATGAATCGGTCGATTCTGAACTGGATGCTACGACATTGCATAATGGGACTGGGGAAGTTTTCTTGACAGGAGCCGATGGTGGTGGCAATACACAGACAAAATATGCCCCAAATTAAGGTCACGATGCGGTATGTACCTAATGACCGACTATTGAGATATGCTGTGGCATGTATCTGTTGACATCATGTATCTGTTGACATCATGTATCTGCTGACATCATGTATCTGTTGACATCATGTATCTGTTGACATCATGTATCTGTTGACATCATGTGTCTGTTGACATCATGTATCTGCTGACATCATGCAACCGACCCGCGGTTGCATGAGGAAATCTAAAAAACACGCGATATATGCAATAATTTCTGACGATGCACTTCTAAAAGCGATAATAAAGACTCGGACATGTTGTAAGACATACTCCAAGACATGTTCCGGACATGTTGTAAGACAATTCCATCGTCTTTTTTAGGCCGGCGGATTTCAGCGTTGATTCGTGCTGGCGCTGCTTATCAAAAGAAGTTTACGGTTCCGGTTAATTAAGCGATTACTCTTTTGCGTGGTATCGGTCATGTTTGTCTGTACTAAAACGTCATACCTGGCAAAAGGCCCCCGACGCTGCCAGTGCTGGTTGTGACCAAAGTAACCAGTTTTGTCAGCATAGAGCAGATGATGCCGGTAATTGTCGCCTCGGACGGCATGCTGGCAAGTATCAGGGGGATCACGACATCGGATAAGGTGAACACTGAAATGCCGCTCTTTGCACACATGCCTCAATCATCCCTCAATCAAACAGCCTGACACAACTCAGCACGTGATCACTCACTGAAAAACTCCGTAAGGACGCATCCAACAAGTTAAAACAGCCCACGCAAGTTCTCTGTTTCCATGTGATGACTTCGACTTGGGGCGGCGCCATGGTCTGTGTCACCATGGTCTGTGTCACCATGGTCTGTGTCACCATGGTCTGTGTCACCATGTTCTGTGTCACCATGGTCTGTGTCACATGCATGGCTGGTTTCAGGTCAAGAATGATATCATCAAGCTCAGATGGCCAGCCGGAGCACTCGAAGAAGAATTTCAGCCCAACGAGGCATTGGAACATTGCCAAGATCATCCTGCTCATCAGCATGGGCATGTGTCTCATGTTGGTCGTCGAGAACATGCGACTCCGGTAAGTTGCCGCGCTTCGCTGGCACTATAGGCCATCGATATCGTCGTCCACGATGAGTGTGATAAGTATCATTCACGCGTGATAAGTATCATCCACGATTAGTTTGACGCTTTTGTCAGCTTGCCTGCTTCTTGCGGTATTCCGCTTTTTTGGACTTTCCCGAACCTTCTCCACCCATTGTTGCACAGCGCCTGAGGCGCATTCGTTAAGGTGGGACCGAGCCAAGTGATGACAAACTTAGCTGATATCCATGTAAAGAATACCCCGAAAAGCAAATAAAACACTCGTCCTTGGAAAACCGTACGCATATCAATGCATTGAAATATCCCACCCGCATGAGTCAAGCGAGAAAAAGTTAATTGTTGACATTGGCATACATATTTATGAGCGACATGATTAACAAACTGATTGGATTTCGGACCATCAGTGCTTGCCAGCTTTAAACGGTGCCGTGAATTGCTTTGGCATAAGCTAACTTTTTGCTGACTGCGAGGAAATTTGTGACATTGCCAATATTTTGCATGGCCGGTCCCAATATGCTGGAACACATGTCTGTATAGATCTGCCCGCCCGATGTGTTTGGGCCTAGGTAACATCATGTTGTATTTGAGGCCGGCTACAGAAAACGTGACGTTGACCGTCTAGCGATTCAATGCTTGCGCGCTTATCGACCGGACAGTGCTGGAGCCGCTTGATTATGTTGAGAAGGTACGGTCATCTATAAGGTTTAGTTAGTTTTGTCGCCGTTTTAACCGGTCTCCAAAGATTATTAGAAATCACCAAAATGGCCACTTCTACCAGATAAAGTGAATCAAAACCAAAATGAACACTTTACACCGATCGGATTATCATTAGATTATCATAGGATTATCACCGATCATTAGTATGGACGTCTTCACCACCGGTTTAATTAAGTCGCTAACAACAATGCTTACTTAAGTCACCAAATACAAGAAGGAAATGTCTAGAAAGAATAGTTTCCACCAGACAGTCTGAGGTTCCACCAAATAGGTGAAAAAACACCGATGCATAGCAGGAAATCAAGAATTTGTACCAGAATCTAGGAATTCGGCCGACCAGCAAAAGACAACCATATTTTTAACCAAACTGGCATCAACTTGGGGATGTTTTGGAACGCGGACGCCATTATTCACCCTGGAGTTTTGTTGTGAGAGCGAGTCGCTGACCAGCATTGAGTTTCGTACATACCTACACATCCAGGGGCATATCTAGCTGATCGGGGGGGGGGGGGGGGGTGGGAGGACAGGGGGAATATCCTCCTGCTAGGCCCTGAGCGACTTCGGGACCATCGGTAGAAACTATTAAGGGCCCGATATAGGGCCCGAAGGACTGGCTGGGGGACGACCCCGGGGCAAAGGCCTGGCATTCAAGAGTCAGCCAAAGAGACTCGTCGCGCCTGTGGGGGTCCCCGAACGACAAGGGCGTCTATGTAGGTCCGAGACCACCAACGCTGAGCAGTCGGCTTCGAGTCGGTTTGGACCATGGGGTCCTATTTACGAAACAGAGACAAGGCCAGTGTCCGCAATTACTACTGAAGGCCTCCTGCGTGCGCCGAGGCCACTGAAACAAGGTGGCTCCATCCAGGCACAGAGTGTTTAACAGTGGAGCCTGTGTCGGCAAGGGCCTCTAGCCGACCAGAGGCACATTTTGCTGAAAGAGAACAAGACGGGAACCTGAATGTCAGAGAGCTATTTGCGTTGGTCGAGCTCCTCGTTGCCTGACACGGAATGGAAATACAAGAAACTTCGATGAAATGGTCCACAATAACATAATAGAAGGGTCCGGCCAGCCACGGACTCTATGACCAAACAAGGGCTCTTCAGGGTCCCTAAATTTAGGTAATTTTTGTGATTGTTGCCTTACCCATGTCCTTTTCCTTGTCCTTGCCCTTGCCCTTGACCTCGTCCGTGCCCTTGTCAATGTCCCGCCATCCAAAATCGGTGGTTTTAGCCCTGATGTGTGGTCGGTTTACTGTTTTAGCCCTGATGTGTGGTCGGTTTACTGTTTTAGCCCTGATGTGTGGCCAGTTTACTATACCACATTTTAACTGGCACCAATGGCGATGACTCAACCTTCTGGTGATAAACTGGCAGCCACGGCTTGCTACCTCAGTTGGTGATCAGGGTGTGTATTTTGTTGATGGAAGTGGCCATTCTGGTTGTCCAATCAATTTTGTCCCGCTAGCTTGATGTCCCTGCCTGCTCTGGCTGCGGAGATATAAATATCCGTCCCCCAAATAAGCCAGAAAACGGGCGGAGGCATGATTTGTGCACGATTGCGGAACACAAGGGATAGTCTGCACAGATCTGTCCACGGTCTTGGTGGAACAATTGTCCATTTTGTGCCTTCACTAATCTTGCTTGTTCTCGTGTCCTTGCCTGGTATTTGACGTTTGGCTCTGTTTCCGTCCATCTCCTTCAGCTTTGTTCGCGGTTGAAAAGTGCTGCAATTCCCATGCTAGCCGAATGGGGACACGGTATGATAGTATTGCACGGAAGTAGCTTGACGATATTACCATGCCATATCCATGATTATTTTTCTTGTCGCTGAAATTGTCTGATAACGACCAGCGGCTGCAGAGACTGCAAGCTGTAGAAGCTACAAATGTACAAATAAAGCTACAAAATGTTAAAACGACGCCAAAAGTGTACAAAATAAAGCTATAAAAGTACAAAACGGAGCACCAAAATGAAGCAAAATATTCTACAATAGCTACAAAGGTTACAAAACACAAAATGTCTGGGTGATTCATGTTAAAACTCGTTCTGTGCGCGATCTCGGTCGTGACAATGGTTTCGTCTTTATCAAAGCAAATGATAACCGTAAAAGAATACATGAAACAATCCCGAACAGCTAACCAAAAGCTCACAAAGTATCCCATATGCATAGATATTGGGTTACTATCTGTAAAACCAGCGTTGTCATGGCAATGACTGCGCCCATTGCGCCCTTCCCCACTGTGCTAAAACCATGACGCAACAAATTTTTACGTAAGTTGCTCAGTGCATTAGCGAGGAACATTATTCACATAGATAAGACAGTAGTATTGGCCTCATTCCTCGCATAAAAACCAGGAGAATGGAGATATAGTTGGGTTGCCATTTCAGCAACATGCCTTTATTAAAACAAGAGCGGAAGTCATAGACTTCAGCTATTTTAGTCATAGACTTCCGCTATTCCGCCGGGAGTCATAGACTTCCGCTATTATAGTCATACACTTTCGCTAATCCGCCGGAAGTTATAGACTTCCTCTATCGTTACGATAAAGGCATGTTTCCGAAATATCAACCCAACTATATCTCCATTCTCTTGGGTTTTTGTCCGAGGAATGAGGCTAATACTACTGTGTTATCTATGTAAAGAATTTTAAATGCATTTTCTGGGACACTGGCGTATTTAATACGACTAAGGCATAAAGAGGAACGAACACGTTTGCAGAATTATGTTGGATGCATTCGCAACATTTTGTGCCACTGCTCTTCTACACATGCCATTTTTTGCTTCCAGTTGTGCAGTTTATTATTCAGTTTGGATATCTTAGCTTTCCAGCTTGAACTCCAACCTCCTGCGAACGTTTGAAGTAATTGCGACAAAATCGGTGAGAAAACGTTTCATGGCATATTTTCTAGAGAGGTTACGCAATTTTTAAGTGCACAGCCTCCCTCGTCGCAACTCATTTGCAAAACTATGTCCCTGTTTGGTTCCCATATTACCAATGCAGATAATGTCATATGTCCACATCCGTTTTTGCAGTTCGGTGGTAGACATGTCAATACAAGAGGCAGACAAGATAGATCTGCGGTCTGAAGTCCATCAAAACGGCCAGAAGGAGAAAGCTTTCAAGCACGTCACACCTCAAACCAACACCCAGACCGGGAGCAAGGAGGAAGTGCCTGGTCTTCACGCTTCCGAAGGCCAACCGCTCGTCCAGGGAAAGGAGAATGCCTCCAAGCCCACATCGCCAAATGGACGTTCCGACACCCAGGAAGAGGACGAAACCCATAGAAAATCGGCGTTAGTATCCCATGATCAGCAGGAGCGTGACAGAGCTGAGAAGAACTACGCTCGGCTGCATTCTCTACTAACCACAATAGACCGGGACCATCGGTGCCGGCGGCTGGCTCTGGTCGGCGGCAGGTGCTTGTTCTGCAAGTCCATGCACAGCTACCAGTTGGGAATGCGAGACGGCGCCAAGCCAGTCTGCTACGACCTGCTGCGGCCCAACTGTTCCGTGCTGTCGTTCGGCATCAGCTTCGACTTCAGCTTCGACGTCGGCATGGAGGACCTGGACTGCACCGTCCACGCCTTTGACCCCACCATGGGCTTCACCGGCTTCCGGACGTCGGAGAGCATCCACTTCCACGGCGTCGGGATCGGGGCGCAGGACGACTTCGGCGCCCGCTTCCCAGTCGCCAGCCTGGCCACCATCATTCAGCTGATCCCGTTGCAGCAGGAAATCATCGACTACGTGAAGCTGGACATAGAGTGCAACGAGTGGGACGTGCTGCAGCAGCAGCTGACCTCCTCCGGGGACCTGCTGCGCGTGCGGCAGCTCACAATCGAGTTTCACCTGTGGCAGTGGAAGCCGCAGCTGGACACTGAGGAGGGTTTGGCCCCCGAAGCTAGCAATGTGACGGTGACGGCGGAGAACGCCGCCCGATTCGTGACCGTACTGACCTCGCTGTGGGAAGCAGGCTTCAAGCTGGTGTACTCCGCACCGTACGGTCGGTGTTTTAGCTACAGCACAGGGTGTTTACCGTTTTTATTCGAGACTCTCTGGATAAATGCAAACATCAGCTAGTTTTGCCAGGATCATTTTCAAATGGCATGCACAGCACACTTGTGGTGAATTAATTGCTGAACCGCGCATATTTTTCCAACTTTTGATTCTCGAGTGGATTACTGAAGGTGATCATGTGGTTCATGATCATGAATCATGTGGTTCGAAGAAAGATTTGGGTATATATTCCGGACTGTATGGAGCTTCACCTGACATGATATTGGCGCTTACTCTTAGCTTACATTATGTCATGTTCCTGATGTTGAACATGGCCTTTCTTTTGAAGCCTTTCAAGTCTAGAGGATCATCGTTAATGGTGCTATATATGTGCTTTCATTGTTTTTTCAGGTGAAAAATTCATTCCTTGTATTTCAGGCTTTGACCCAAAATACAAGAAATGACGAGTTTATCTAACTCTGCTTTTTCTTTCGATCAGACCATTACATTCCAGAGATAAACACGAAGTCAACGCTAAACACCCGGGATCGCAGAGGGTGGAAATCGGGCAGCATCGGAAGTCACCGAAAATAAGGTCAGTGTGGCAGACCTGGGGTCGGTGAGGGGACAGTGGCCTGAAATCGCTTCCCACTTGGGTGAAGCGCTCATGTTATTTCCTACAGGGAGATGAAAAAAATATATATAATTGCTGACGTTTAACGCCACACGAATGGGCTGGAACATGCAACTAATTTTTCTGCATTCATTCCTCTTTTCAGGTCCCGGTTGTTGTCCTGCTGGTTTAGTATCCTGTCCAAGTGCAAAAATTGTCTTATTCAAGACTTCCTCACCATTCACTGTCCGTTAAGAACTATCTTTGCATATTTTCCAATTTATTCGCGAATCACATTATCACACGAAGACACTGCAATGTTTGCATAATGTGGTGATTACTCAGGATAGTTAGCCGGGTTTGTTTGATTTCAGTCGGCAGAAAAACATCTGAGGCGCCGAGTGATCTTTAGGAACTTGCCTCAGCCCAGCTGCAAAGCGTTCACAATATATCGACAAAACCGCGTTGCCACGATCATAACACAGCAGACGCTGAAGGCGACAATTTTTACAGCAAACACAGGGGTTTTACAGCAAACGTGGATTTGGAGGGAACTAGACCTGCCAGCAAGTTTTTCTTTTCAAAATACGTAAAACAAACAAGATGCCCCCTCCAATGGGTGCTTTCATCCCTCCTCCCCCCATAGATCCTGAACTCATGACATGTGTCGACTTTTGCGTATCATCTTTGCCAATACACTTCCGCAACGGATGCACCGCAATGTAACACTCGCCTCTCATTTGGCCCGTGTTGAGACCAAAGCTGCCGAATGACTGCGTTTCGGTAAACTTAGCAAAAAATATGACACCACAGGAGTCGGAAACGTGCCAAAACCTCTCGCACACTTACCCTTCTAATTATTTTTTGCGGGCTTCATCCCATCAATGATTAAGCAGCGATGCAGGGGCACTAAGCGAGCGTTCAGTGTCAGCAGGTTATTGTCGCCATTATTCGCCATTATTGACGCCAGCGATCTATCAATATCTGGGTTGGTTTAGCGCGTTGGTGGGACTGTGCTACCGGTTTCGAGCATTTCAGTCATTGCCTGGCGCACAGCAATGCACTTTGGGCAGAACTGAAAACCATATCATAACTCACCCTGCTTCGCCGTTTTTAATAACACGGACTGATGGGGATGTAGCCCTTGCCGGTTTCAAAGCAAGAAATATAGAGCCTCGCGAAAAATACGGCGAATTGGTATATACGAGATTGCGCATTGGTGGCAAGTCTTCCGTGGCTAGGCTAAAATTAGCCCAACAGGCCAGGTCAAAGGTCAAATTGTTGTGGTTACAACTATTTTCGGCTTTACATGCTCATATGTACAGGACCATGCTTTCAGGAGACACAAAACTTCAATAAGCGTATTCGTTATCTAATACGTTTACAATCGCATGCAATTATATATGTTTTGAGCGCACGTATATCAGGCAGGGCTCCGTCGATGCGACAGTGTCAGCCGCCGCCCAAGTCCGTGGAACCGTCGGTTGCCTACCTCTGCTCGCACCGGCAGTGGTTCACTGTGCAGTGTCCTAAAAAAAGCATCGCAGCTCAGAAACCAGAGTGGTAAGGGACCCGTGTTTGTGAAACCGCGCAAGAAATATGTTAAGGGCTCACGAAAACTTATACGCGATTAGACAATTTAACGAAAACCTACACCCAGAATAAACCTTAGGCAGAGGAATGGAGGCTCATAAGCCCTCCTATGAGAGCGGATGCTTACATTTTAGACAATAAAACGATCACAAAAAACGCTACGCTAAAACGAGTGCCTCTGACAAGCATAGACGTGGATTCTCCGGATAGCCATGTTGTGGACACATATTTCACACATTGCCCGCCGAAAATGATATTTTCGGTCATGTTTTACCCCTCAGAATCCAACTGACTCCTCCAATTCTGATTCCCCCATCCCAGATACGTGGCTGCTCACATACCAAATACAAGACTACACCAGGCGCCTGAGGCCACACAAACCGATATGAAAAGCGTTACCCATGGCCACAGTGGTTATCCAACATCTATTGCAAGGTTATCCTTAGTTTGGCATCAACGTACGCACACGTTAAAGACAGCTATGGCATTCACAAACCTTTCCGGATTCTGTCACAGGCTATCAAGTCGCGACGAGAAGCACCAACGCAGCAACGTGAATAACCATTGGGCCCATATCTAGATGCCACCTCCCTGTGCTGCCGGTTAGGTATTAGACCATGGGTCTAAGTGAATAAAGTAAAAACTGGTATGGACTTGTGCTCACCCAACCACCCCCATGACCAATCACAGTAGTTGTGCTATGGGCTGATGAAGTTTGTTAAGCAACGATTCCATCGGTATCAGCAGATTCGGATTCCAAAATGGAGATGTCGAAATCGTGCAACGCTTGACATGAGGGCCAACAAATCACTGATCCTTGAACGGTAAGCAAATAATAACTTGGGTTCGAAATGTCGCGAAAGCATGCCGCAGGCTCAACGTAAATTCCTAGACGATATTCACCGCAGCTCAGCGATTGCGTCTTCGTCACGTGGTGTGGATCAGTCCACATTTCAGCCCTTCTTCTAACATGGATGTCTCTCCCCACAAACAGGTCATCGTATTCTGATATGTATTTACACATTCGCAAGTGGTGGCCAATAAACATCACTCAGACGCGAAACCGATGTGAGCAGCATCACCATCATTATTCGACGTGCATCACAACGATAGAAGCCGACGCAACATTCTGGATTGAAGGTAAGACGTCAGCACATTTCTGCCGTCCAAAGGTAAAACCCCATATGTTAATTTCTGGCCATGTTGGTTTTTATGTCACCTGATCCTGGTACTCCTGTTGGATGCGGCTATTTACACAATCAGTTGATATTTTTACAAGCTTTTAGCACTTTCTTTCAGCTAAGAGTTTGTGAGAATTTCAACTATTGGTTTGAGCATCCGCATGAGAAGACGAATAAAATGACATTAAAAACACAAATGGCCAGAAATAAACATATAACGATTTACCTTAGAACGAAATATTTGTAATGCAGAAGTGTAATCAAAATGCCATGCATCATCAACGGGCCGCCGCCAACGCATGACAAAATAAGGCGTTAACTTTGCTACAAAGACATAACCTGCGTACAGAAAATGCCTCTCGAACGCAATTCGTAAGTCTTAAAAGTCGCTGATGTCACCATTGCCATCACGCGCCGGGGGCAGAGCCCTTCAGCGCATGCGCCGTTGCAACCGGAGCCTCGACCACCAGCTGACCGCCGCGCGTGAGGCGGGAGGTCACGGCGTCAGGGTCGGCACCAGGGGGAAGTGCAGCCCTGCGCATGAAGCGGACCATCGTGCTCCCATCCTCCGCTCGCGTTTCGCGGACAGCCTCCACCGTCAGCACGCTGTCCCTGACGGTGACGCGGACCTCCTGCGGCAGGAAGTCCCGTACGTCCAGGGTCAGCCGGAACGTGTCCTCCAGGCGCCGCCCTGGCACGTCCGCAGCGCTCTGATGCCGCGCCGCAATATCGTCGGCTTTCTGGCGCCGTTCCGCGACGTCTCCAGCTTCCTCTGCGTCATCCTCTTTCAGGACCACGACCTCGCTGTCTTCTGACTCGGAAGTCGTGGAGGCGGTGCCTTCCGGCTCAGGCGCCGGGTGGTCGGCAGCGGCTTCGTCTTCGGCTTCACAATCATCAGTGGCATCAGCCACGTTTCCGGCATCCGGTTGGTGATCTTCAGTCGGAGCAGCTTGCGTTGTACTTGCATCCTGTGCAGGATGATATGCGGCCACCTGCTCGGCGGCATCTTCTACCTCTGGCGATGCAGCACGGTCTACAGCGCCCCGCTCGCACTCGTGAATGCCTTCTTTTTCAGAGCACTCGCTCGAAGCAGCGGCATCAGCATCCACTGCCGCTTCCGCGTCTCTCTCTTCGGACCGAGCGGCTGGAACTTCAATCTGCTTATCTTCCACGACGCATGAGTCCAGATCGTCGTACGTCACCTTCACCGTCTTCGCCTCCAGTGCCAGCGGATCGACCGCCGGCGCCTCCAGCACCAACTGACCTGACCGGCTGAGTCTCCAGGTCAGGTCGTCGGCCCGCACGCTTTCTGGCAGCGTCACCTTCCGCACCATCTTGCTGGATACGAAGCTGCCAGCTGAGCGCTCCTTGTGACGAGCACGCACCGTCACCACCCTGCCCGACCGCCGAACGTTTACCTCCTCCGGCCGGTACCCAGCGGCGTCGACCACCAGCCGGAAACCCCTCGCTTCCGGCCGCTGTTTTTCCTCGTGGCGGCAGAGTCGCTTCGTTGCCGTCGGCTCCAGCGCCTGGCGGAGATGCCGCTTCAGCGCCCGATGCGGCCCGTGGACGCGCGGGCTCCAGGTGCAGCCCTCGGACCCCGCCAGCCCAGACCACGGGTCCCAGTGCCGCATTCGGCGAGGCTCGAAAAACAGCAATGTCGCCATGTTCGTCGTGGGCGTGCACTAGCCGCTTGCGCGCGAGCGGCACCCAGCCGATATTGGAGTGATTGTGATGAGGCGGAGTGCTGCCGCGCTGTTTTATGTTGGGAGACACTGATCGAGAACGGACGCGAACGCTCCCGTCGCCGGGCCGCTTGCGCGATTTCCCCGGCGCGCTCGAGAACCGTCGGGAATCCAGATGACCAATGAGAATCAGGTATGTTTATGACGTCATAGAGTTGCCCAATAACACGGGATTTAGCTATGTGACGTCATACATACTGGAGCATACTGGTGAGACAGATCAAGCCAGTGCGCTATAACAGCCGTACGATTTTCGAGGGGTTCAGAGATTGCAGTATGTACTGCAACTATGTGAATAACCGATGGACGATAGCGAAACAGTGAATAACCGATGGACCATAACGAAACAGCAGGAATATAACATTCCCGCTTTGAGTCCCCCTACGTCGAACCTTTACATAACTTAGCTGGACAAGTTCTGCTGATGAAGTCGCGATGTTCATTAGCGTAGGAATCACACACCACAATCGGGAGTGACTAGTACAGCCAGCGATAGCAGGCCTGCGTATGCTCCAGGAAAACCATGTTCATTACCAAGAGAATTACACAGCCTTACAGTTAAAATTTGCTGGTGTTCTTAGGATTAGAATTTGCTGTACCAATAGAATAACACATTTGCTGGTTTCTTCGCTGGCCTCCATGCGCGTTGCATTGCTTTAATCTTAAATCTCTTGAAAAATCTTGCTTTAATCTTAGGCTTTCTCCCAATTTCGTGTCTTTACCATGACGACGCAGGAGTGTGGCGCAATCGCTGTGCACGAACTTCTGATGTTGAATGAACAAGTCTCAGGCGCCGATCGTGGTTACCAGATACTTCTGCTGGAGGACAGCACCTGTCGTTTAGCAAATGCTCCAGATGTCGCTGCGAGCACTACCTGGACCCCCATCGAACTGAACAACCGGCTTAGTTCGCCGTCCTGCCGGAGATGCGACAAGACAGCGAAGTTCTCGCACAGAGCCTCTCGAGGCGGCCGCTGCGTGGCGCTGCCGTCGCTGCGGCAAAACTCCCCGGCGGAGGGCGTGAGGACGAGACTGGCGGCATGATTTACGGCTTGATTTCTGTTCAGTGAGGATGCGATATCAGGACCACTCAGCCTCATGGGTATAGGTATGGTATGGGTAGGGTATAGGTATATGGGTATTGGTATAGTCACAACTGGACCAGGCTATTGAGCAACAATGCATCAGTATGAGTCAGGACAGGAGTGAATCCTCGCTGTCTGGGCTGAAATAATCATTTCCAGTCAGCTGAAACAGCACAACACTTTCTAGACAGTCTCATCTCGCCCACGTCCCGGCTGTGAGAAACGGGGCGACAACCAGCTGTTTCACAGCCAGCATGCCCATGTCCAATATGACCCATCCTGTGCCCGCCTGGCAGGTGGAGGGCAGACGGGGTTCAATGGCACAGCTGACGAAGACGGCGGAGCGGTCGGTGGAGGGTCTGGAGGTCGTCGCTCCCAGCTCGACCCCTTCTTAAGTCATAGGGCGGAGGTCAGCCATGCCCTGGTGCAGCTGTGCGGCACCGCCCCAGGCTACACATGGTCAAGGCAGGCTGGGGCCGAAGTCGTGGGTGTCTATAGACATAAGCGATGGCATTCCCGCTGAAATTTATTCACCTTATCACTGTCCTTGGCACTGAGCCCTTTGACTGTTGGCACGAACATTATTCCTCGTCCTGATTTGTTTTTTTCCATAACGGGAACCGGCTGTGTGGGTTAGGGGTGGGGAAGGGGCCCCCTGCCGTTTCCAAAGCAAAGAAAAATAGAGCCTCGCGGAAGGGAAAAGCGGATTGGTCTCAACGAGCTCATACGAATATTACTGGATTATTTTCGTGTTGATGAGTTACTAATTCATCGCATCATGCCAGGTCGGTCAGTTTTTCTTGACATTACGCCTTTGCAGCTTTACATGCCAATATATTCGAAATTTTGCCATGTGGCAGCATAAAACCTACACATACGTAATCCTTGTTTGATCCTGGTCCGAATGAGTTGGAGTTTGTTTTTTTAGTACGTATGTATTTTCCTGAGGATATGAGTTTGGGATGACGCGCAATTGCCCTAAATTTCTGGTGGTTTATGGAGGCGGGAGGGGGGCATTCATCCCGCATGTTTCGACACCAAAAACGAGTCTAGTTTTTTCGAACACGAACGGCTTTTTCAGATCAATGCACGGCGGCCTACTGCCGACGCGGGCGGCGGACAACAGCCAACGAATCTAAACAGTGACGCGCGGGCAGGTCGATGCTGTACACGGGCTGATATATATATAGTTATAGTTAAAGATAGATAGAAAGATATAGATCTTTGTACCCTATACCTAACTGCGTCTTATCTATTTAATTATACTCTCCCGTACCCTGAACATTTGGTTTGATAACCATGTGATGTATTGCGTTACTAGTGTGCGCGCCTGGGCGCACCTCTGCGACCGACCGCCGCGGCCAGCAGTCACCGGGACGACTGTCGACTGATACCGGTGAGAGCGCGCGTATATCACACTGGTGGCAGCGAGTGGGGGCGTGCTATATGGAGCCGAGGGAGAAATTGACGTGGGGTGATAGGGAACAGCTGGAAGACTCCTACGACGGTTGGATGCTTGTTGGCTGGCGATGGGGGTCGAGAAGAAAGCGGTGGGGAAGGCGCTTCTTGGCCCCGGTTCGCGGATTGCGGTGATGGATGCGCTGTCAGAAGAGGGCACAAGGGATGTTCGGAGCCTGAATTCGGCGCTGCGTCGGGAGTTCGGTCCGTTCCACAGCGGGTACCATGACCGGCTCAGTCAGCGACGTAAGCAGCCCTCCGAGGCATACGGTACGTTTCTTTCCGTGTGTCATTGGGGCTTTCCGACGCACTCAGCTGCTGAGGCTATATAGCGTCGCCTGCCTGTCACCCTGGCAGGAAGGGCGGGCACCGCAGGGAATCGAACCCCATACCTCTGGTTTCCCAGACGCGCAGTGGTTAACGCAGACGCGTTAGCCACTACACTACCGGCACCCGTATGTTTCTTTCCGATTTACTCTTTGTTTCGTGGTGCGTTTCCTGGCTCGGAGCCTGACACGTCTTTTGGAGCCGCTCTCTTGAGGAGTCGGTTCTTGGATAGCATCTCGTCAGACGTTGCGGCACAGTTACGACTGTTGTATCCCAGCACTGACGTTGCTAAGATGCCGATACATGCAAAACAATGAGGAGGCTGTCCATCGCTCGCCGGCTAAAGTCAGTCAAATTGTGGAGGGGCCTGCGGTAGAGAAGGGAGCGGTTGATCATCTCCGTGACGAGGCAGCCGAGCTCTCTCGTGCCGTGTTTGAGATCCGCGCGGCGGTCGGGCCGGCCGGCTGGCGCTATCGCCGGAGGCGGCGTGACGTCATTCGGGACCGGGCGGGTCAGCCAGCGGTCGGCTCAGCGGGGTGGAGGACCGCCACGTGACCCGCCCAAGGTCAGCTGGGCGGGCGGTCCACAGGAGCGTGCACGGGGGGAGGTGGACACCGATAGACTAAGCTGGAGAGGGGCTAGTGTGGTGTATTGCGTTACCAGTGCGCGCGCCTGAACGCGCCTCTGCGGCCGACCGCCGGAGGCGGCGGCCGACCAGCCGTCGCGGTCACAGGGACGCCTGTCGACTGGTACCGGTGAGAGCGCGCGTGATAACCAAATTACTTATTACGAGCACCTTCATTCAAGTTGCTATTCAAAACTGGTAAGGTTTTTGAAATCCATTTTAGCGGTCAGATGTGGATGTAAAATGCGTACAATTTTTTTAAAACTGTTCTCTCTATTCATCTAAAGACAACAATGTGTTGGAACAAAGAAGTGCCCATCACCGCTTGATAAGTCAATTCTCTCAAGTCAGAGTCAATGTTGTTTGGTCGCTGCGCTGCGGTCTGTCAAACTCGACAGCAGCAGCCGAAGCAATAACGCAGCGCAGCGCAACAGACAACGCAGCGACCAAAGCAATCCAATAAGCGAAGCCGTAAATTTTTTCGCGTGCCACGCGTAACGAAATGGGAGAAACCGCCTCCACTCAACCGAGTCTAACTTCTTCAATATACATCAGAACTACAAGCTAAAAAAGCATGTTGTACGCAAGTATAAAACACATCGATACGCTGGAACACAATTCCGACATCCAAATTTTAAATAGGAAAGATTGGCCAAAATTGAACTCTGAACTCCGGTGAACAGAGAAATTAGAAACAAAGCCTATCGATATCGTCGAGGCAGTACAACACAGGCTGCCAACAAACCCCTGCGCACAGTGCAAACTGGCAGTTAACACGCGCAAGATGATTTTCTCACGGCAGAATTAAACTCAGGGACGAAGGCAAGGTTATTCCGCCACGCTACCCAGCAAGAATTCTGTCGGGCGCAGCGAACGGGTTGCGACTTGACCACCACTCATGCGGGTGGCAAGACAAAAAAAAAAAACAACACACAAATCAGAGAACGCCATCATCCCCCCAAGATCCACAGAAGCATCCACTTTTTCCTAAATTACCTGCGTTAACACCCGTGGAGAGACGACGAGGACGACGACCCCCTTCCGATGGTAGACATGTACTCGCAGTCACAACTGTAGTGTAATAAACCCGAGCATCGTCCATGTCAGCTATGCCGAAGCGGTTCGGGTCAACCGAGAACGGCGCCACCACGCCACCTCACCCACACCCTCGAAGCCCAGTATGACCTGAATGGCACATCTTTGGAAGCTGACAGATACCGATGATAGAACTATTCGACAGCGGTTGAGTATTGCCACGTTCTCGACCACGTCAAGAGACCATGCCGTCCAGTCGTCAGGTCAGCGAGCGCGTACCGCGGCATCGAGAACAGCAGCAGTGACGAGGACACAGACGACCGCCACCCCGTGCACGCGGACACGCTGCCGTCCGGTGGCGCCGCCGGAAGGACAGGTGTCGATCCGTAGGCACTGCCCTTTGAGGGCCACCACCAGAACGC